AGTAGAAAAGCAAAAGGGAAAGCCCCCGTTTTTGGCAGGCTTGGGGGGGGTTGGTTGGGCAAACCTTGTTGGCGCTTTATTTTCGTATTGGTGGGAATCTGGGAGGCAAAACAAGAAACCTTCAAGCGGAAGGGTTTACGCACAACTGAAACCCCAACACCACGTCGTGAAAGTTCCATGCGAAAGTTCCTCGGCGATGGACGTCACGAATGTGTTTTTCCTGCAAAGATGGCGTTTGCGGGAACAAAGAGTCTCAGACAACTGCCACATGTATTTCATGCGATATTATATATATATATATATACACACATATGAAACAAACTTTATGGGAGGCAACGTACCCCAGATGTGGGCCAAGACTTGGGGTACCGGAAAGCGAGCTATTTCGGCAGCCCTCAATTCCCAAGTGCCTTTTTTGTCCTTTTTCGGGGGAGGGTTCGGCTCTCAAATCAACCAACCAAAGATGCGTTGGTTTTTGCCTGGGGCAGTGGCTGATGGGAGATTTGAGCCTCCAGTTCTTGAGACCTGGGAAACCTAAGGGACAGGTCAAAGGATATCTGCCCTGGCTTTTTGACCTTGTTCTAGACCCTTTCCGCACCAGGTGTGTATTACTCGTACTGAAATGGGGGAGACATACCATGTGGCAGATGTGAGCTCCCCTGCAGATTCAGATGGAACCCAAAGAGCCACCATCTTCACAGCAACCTCACCTCCCTTACCTTTGTGCTTCCAGGTTTTGCCGGGGGAATAACTCAGCCTGGTTTTTGTAGGAACATCATTTTGGTAAAAGTACAGGTTGACTCCCGCCATTGTTTTGGTCGGCGCGGTGCCCAGAGTGCAACTCCATGTGACAGTCTTTTGCTAGGGCAGAACATGCCTCTTCTTGAAAGCATGCCCCAGTTGATTCCATGTATAGTGGGTAACCAAGTGAACCCTTTCATGGCTGGTTACCTATATGCGTGCTTGGCTGAGACCCAAGACGTGGGAAAGGTTGCCTTCGGTCGTGCAGAGCTTCTGAGCCCATTTTGTGAAGAGATGACCCTGGAGCTTTGCTGCCTGTAATCCAAGCCTGCAAAACACTTGCAGGAAGATCGCTGGAGTTTCACCATGGGCTTCTTGGCCAATGATTTGCAGTGTGTTTGTTTCTGTTGGTCTGCTTGCTTGATTGATTGCTTGATTGATTGATTGATTGATTGATTGATTGTTTGATTTGATTTAATTTGATTTTACTTGACGTAACTTGATTTGATTTTATTTGACTTGACTTGATTTGAATTGATTTGATTTGATTTAATTGGTTGGTTGATTGAGTGAGTGATTGATTCGTGCATTGATTGATTGATTGATTGATTGATTGATTGATTGATTGATTGATTGATTGATTGATTGATTGATTGATTGATTCATTGATTGATGCATGGATGGATGGATGGATGGATGGATGGATGGATGGATTGGATGGAATGATTGATTGATTGATTGATTGATTGATTGATTGATTGATTGATTGATTGATTGATTGATTGATTGATTGATTGATTGATTGATTGATTGATTGATTGATTGATTGATTGATTGATTGATTGATTGATTATTTGTTTGTTTGTTTGTTTGTTTGTTTGGTTGGTTGTTTGTTTGTTTGTTTCGTTGTTGTTGTTGTTTTGTGTGTGTGTGTGTGTGTTTGTTTGTTTGTTTGTTTGTTTGTTTGTTCGGTTGGTTGGTTGTTTGTTGGAGTGCTTGCCAGCTTGCCTGCTTGCCCGCTTGCTCGCTTGCCCCCTGCCCGCCTGCCCGCCTGCTTGCCTGCTTGCCTGCTTCCCTGCTTCCCTGCTTCCCTGCTTCCCTGCTTCCCTGCTTCCCTGCTTCCCTGCTTCCCCGCTTGCGTTTGGTTGTTTGTTTTGCTGGTTGCTTGTTTGTTTGTGTCTTTGTTTGACGGTTTGATTGCTTGCTTGCTTGTTTGTTTGTGTGGTTGTTTGACTGTTTTATTGCTTGCTTGCTTGCTTGCTTGCTTGCTTGCTTGCTTGCTTGCTTGCTTGCTTGCTTGCTTGCTTGCTTGCTTGCTTGCTTGCTTGCTTGCTTGCTTGCTTGCTTGCTTGCTTGCTTGTTTGCTTCTTCGGTGTTGTGTTTGCTTGCTTGCTTGTTTGTTTGTTTGTTTTGTTTTGTTTTGTTTTGTTTTGTTTTGCGTTGTTGGTTGGTTGGTTGATTTGCTTGTTTATCGTTTTGTCTGTTTGCTTGTTTGCTTGTTTGCTTGTTTGCTTGTTTGATGTGGGAGGTCTAATAGCGGTTGCAGTGCGGGCCTTCTAGAGTTCTAGAGATGGGTCTTCATTATTATTGTTTTGTCTGGTCTTTTGCATGGTAGGTTTGAACAAAGCAAGACAGATAACTTTTAGCAGCATATTCTCTAATCATACTGGGAATACCAAGTAGGGCTGAAACAAGTGATTTCGTCAAAAGGTTCATTTGTTTGGGAGAGCAGTTTACCCGTTGAACTCACCTTACCCCTGTTTTGTGGTTCAGGGGTACCTTCTTAGTTGAACCGAGTCTGGGCCGTCTGAGTGTATAACCCTTTTGTGAAACGCAAAAAGCCTGGCATCTAGGGCAGTTTCAGGCATGGATTGCGGCCTGGAAGGTAAAACTAGAGTCCCTTTCTTTCCTGGACAGGGGAATGGGCAAAAACCACACCCCGAACATTGTTTTGTGTATAAAGCCTTGTCTGCTTGCTCAAGCAACACCCAACCAAGAAACGCGCTAGCTCTGGCGGGTCCCTAGGCCTTGCGGATTTGCTTGCGGACTTGCTGGATGCAGCGGAGGGCGTTCGATGAGATCCGCGCGGAGGGGCCATCGCCTACGTGAGGCAATGGCACCGGCGCTTCAAACGCTTTAGATTCTCAGATGGGTCCAAAGCAGCGACCCAACCCGGGGAAAAGCCGTTAGGAGGTTCTACCACGTACCATACAAGTCTTTGCCAGCAAATTCTGGTAGAACCAAAGTTCGATGGGTTGCGGGTGCTGCTCAACTAGCGTTGATTCACACCCGTGGGGTGTGGAATCCAGCCGCCAAGCACAAGTCTGGGTGCAAAAAGCAAGACGAAAGATGGAGTGCAAGAAATGGTGGCTGTCATTGGCTAGTAGCCCCACATCGATTTATTCGAAAGGGGCCCCTGTTTGGGTGGGGACAAGTTTTTAGAGGGGCACCACTGATTAATACGTGGCTGGTTGTATTGTCCAGGGCTCAGCATCAGTTTCGACATCTAGATGAAAAGAAGCTTGAACGTCAAGAGAAGAACGGGCCACCACATCAGCCATTGAGAAATGAAACGGGTATAGGTTTGTCACCGCACAGCTACCGCGCATAGTATTGAACTAGCCCAGGCGGCTGGTATAGCAAGGGGTAAAAGCAGCCCTCAAGGACCATGTTCTGTTTTGCAAAACTTATCCTGACCCGTATGTCATGGCAACACACTGCGGTCCGATTCCAACATGTTGTGTATTGTTACCAGGGTGCTTTATTTTAGTCCAAGAAAGATGGCTTGACTTAAAACACTACAAGCCAATTTTTGTTCCAAGTAATTCCTTCCCCAGGGTCGATAAAAGGCCAGTGTGCTCATGGCAATTGAGTCACAATGAACGCCCGGGTATATACTTGGAGGGTAGCAAGGCTTAGTAAGGGACAATCCCAGCCATAGATGGGTGCGGCCTTTTCAATTCCTTACATGGATTTGGGTACACCATTTTAATACAGGGTTTTGATTATGACTCAATTGGCGCTCGTTCGACTTTTTGTCAACAAACGGGAGAGAACCACCCCCCTCAAAAGACAAAAGGACGGTTTCCTGTGGGTGTGCTTTGGTTTGCAGCCATAAAAGCCCCAAACAGCACAGGCACACCCCACGTTTGTTGCTTGGATGCCTCACTCAAAAGCAGCGCGGACACGGTTCGCCATGGCTTCCAGAATTTGAGACGGACCCACCTCAGTGTGCTTGGGTCATGTGTCTACCTTGGTGCCAGCATTCTGTACAACGGATTACGTGCTTTCAGCACATTTTTTTTCGTTCCCTCGCATGCTTTCACACCGCTGATCCCAGATACCCCTCTCCCAGTGAATCTAATGTTGTTTCGCAGGCCCCAGCAAACAGGCCTTTTATTTGACCAATTCTGGTTTTGGCAATGGAAACACGCTTGACTTTATAGGGCAGACTTTTAGGCTGGGCCTTGGTCAATGCCGTGTTGTCATGTGGCTATGTCTCCAAATGGGGGGGACCCTAATTCCTTTTGGATTGACTTTGAAACAACCCAAGGGAATCTGGGGTACGTACCCCGTATATCATGAAGCAGAATCAGAAGATTTTATATTTGAGTCCCTCAAAGGTCGGGCCCAATTAAACCTTCGGGGGTGGGTTGGGAGTAGTGGAAACATCTTGGATGATCTTGCTCCATGCGCTTCACTGTCGGCTCAAATAGAAGATTGTCGAGCCTGGCTACCATCTGCTGACTAGGAGGCTTGGAGATGCGGGCAATGTTGCCGAGCTTTGCAGTTCAGTTTCAGCTGTATCGATTCAGAACGTGTCAACACCCAGGGACGTCTTTCCACAATAAGTTAATGTTTTGGATCGTTCATGTTGTTTGATGGTTCCATTTTGAAGCCAACCCCTTTAAATGACTGGATTGGCCCAGGCTGGAGCCCGGACGTTCAGAAAAAGGGCAGGTTCCAGGCAGAAGGTCGACAGATTCAACGAGGCTCATTTTGTGTGTTTGCGCCTCTGAAACATGCGGCTTGCTAAATAGCCCATATGTGTTTGCTGTTTTTCCTGACCCCTTGCATCAACGACCAGAGCAGCAAAGCTTCATGGTTGGTAACTGGCTCGAAGTTGGAACATCTGTCTTCTCTACCTTTTGCTGAACTGATGGAAAGCAGGGCCAGCTTCTCGATCTGCAACTCTTCGAAGGACCACGGTTATCCCGGCAGAGCGCTGGGGATCGAGTGGCGGAGTGGCCTGCCAGGCGATGGGTGACGAAGTCGTGGCCGACTCGGCCTATGATGAGGCGCCTGGCTGCAGCCGCGGCTGCCTTAAGCCCAGCTTCTCACTGCTCCAGCTTCTGAACTTTGCCCACGTGTTTGTAAACAAAACAGAGAACACACGTTTGGACTTGGGTCAACCCACCGGGAAAGTGAGTAATGTTGGCACTTGATTAATAAAGACCCCCCCCAACAATGGAGGCGCTAGAAAAAGTAGGCTCACTTTTGGGACGTCCAAACAATGGATGAATTTATTTTGGGGCCCAATTCTACTTTAGTATTGCAGCCACTTCCTTTTTGCAATTCTACTTTAGTATTGCAACCACTTCTTCCTGAGCAGACTTTTTGAAAACTACTTTAGTATTGCAACCACTTCTTCCTGAGCATACTTTTTGGAATACTACTTTAGTATTGCAGTCACTTCCCTTTCAGTTCTTTCTGTCGCCATTCAAAGTGGGCCACCAATTGAAAGGGGAATGCTTTTAAGCAAGTGGGCCACCAATTGAAAGGGGAATGCTTTTGAGTAAAGCAACTGATAGTTTATTTTCTGGGAGGGGGGGCTGGGGGCTTGCAGACTAATGTGGTCCCCCGAAAGAATGCCATTGTTGTGGTTCAGTGGGGTTTGTGAGGGGTACCCTTGTCCTGATTGTTTGCGTGCATTTGTTTTTTTTAACTCGGTTGAATAAAGAACTTGCAGTTTCAGGGCTGGGGATGGCATTCAATTTTTAGAGGTTTCAGATGGCTTTGGATTTTGTGTTTGAGAAACCAATTCAAAGGGGAATGCTTTTAAGCAAGTGGGCCACCAATTGAAAGGGGATGCTTTTAAGCAAGTGGGCCACCAATTGAAAGGGGAATGCTTTTAAGCAAGTGGGCCACCAACTGAAAGGGGATTTTTTTTCTGTAAAGCAACTGATAGCTTATTTTCTGGGAGGGGGGGCTGGGGGCTTGCAGACTAATGTGGTTAAAAAATGATTTGTGGATATGATTTTGGAGTTTTCCCCCGCGCGGACAAAACAACTTTCAGTTATTCTGGTCCCCATCAACAATCGGGGCGAACCATAATAAGGAAAAATACTTTCAATTATTGACTGACCCATGATTAATCGGGTGCTAACATTAATGATGAATTAGCTAGCCTCATTGCTCCGAATTTGAGGCCTTGTGGGCTGACGCCGCAAATGTCCAACAGTTAGGGGCTTTATGTGCCTTATGGCCAAGTAAAGCAACCGAAGACAATACGGGGCCTTCACGGTTGCTTGAGGAATTGATGGGGTTGTCAAAAGTAGGCTTCCGGCGGATTCGCCGCGGATCGACACGATGAGAAGGGGCTTGCGTCGGCTTGAGCGTGCTTTGACGTAAAGGGGACGCTTTCCGAAACATGTTCCCTTTGCGAGTCCAAATCTAATCCCAGCTCGGGATATTCCCAAACCTCAATTATCCTGAAGGCAGCGGCGGGGAAGAACGAATCAAACCCAAAGTTTATGACCCGGGTGTTCCATTTTGGAGGGAATCTGGTTGCTTTTGTGTCCCATGTTGGAGGGCAAATCCTCTATTTTGGGAAGCACACACCAGGTTGATTTGTGTGGGGTCAACATTAAGGAGGAGAGATGTGGAAGGACTATCTTGTCCCTCGTCTCGAATCTTCCGAAGCCCACGCGTGTTTTCTCTCAGAGATCTGAGGGGTCGCTTTGGTCACATGCACTCTTCGGCAAATTACCATGATCACAAACAAGAAAGCACCCCGATCTAAACCAAAGCAGCAAAGACATAGATCAGCAGTATACGTACCTGAGTCACAGTAACAGCTGCAGACAAGCTGTATAACGTGCCATACCAAACTAACAGATAGCTACAAATGCCAACAATAGACCAATCTAATCAGAAGCAACGGCACATACACAGAACTGTACCAGCCTAAAACAACCGACCCATGAATAGCATGCCGAAACCAATATAAAAATAATCACGTATATGTATATATGTGTACATATATATATATATATATATTCAATTTAGCAATCTAAGCCACAGTAATCAACACATACACAAACAATATGCTAGGCAGAACCATTTCCACGGACGCGACATAAACAGTTTTCCCAATCTGAACCCCGGTGACACACATATATACACATCATACCATTCTAGATCAAAGTAACAAAAACGGAATGTTCCCCTTCAATAGATCGAGTCAACCCCGTCACGGTTAAATACTGCCCCTTTTTCTGGCCCACTTTTACCAACGCCTCTTTTCTTAATTTCGGACAACCACGAGGTTTGGCCAAATGACCGCTCATCCTTTTACCAACGCCTCTTTTCTTAATTTCATCCGTTTTGGAACCCACGAGCTCCCCAATTGAAGGCGCCCTTTTCTGCCCCCCCCCCCCCGCTCCCCGGCCACTCAAACAAACGCCAATCGTGAGACGCAAACTTCGGGTGCCAACACTTCCTTTTAATCCCTTCCCCCTAATGCTAACCCGCCTCCCCCCCTTATGCTAAGTGGGTCCCCCCCTAATGCTAAGTGGGTTTTAGCATTAGGGAGGCCCCGGTTCGTTTCTCCGAACCGTACGCCCGGAGATCAGATCCGGCTCGAAAGTCGCAACTTTGTAGCACAACCGTAGTATATCCCCCCTAATACGACTGGATTTGGGCACGGGCAGGAAAATACCTACTTCAGAATTGGTTTAGTATTGCTATTCTAAAAGTAGTATTCCTGGATTTGGGATTCTCAAAAGTTGGTTTTAGTCTTAGGGGAACCTTTAGCATTAGGGAGAAGGGACTATGTTTCCAAGGATTGCCCTCAAATCAACCTAGCCAGAAACAGCACATTTGCATCTGTTTGTTGGTAAAGTCAAGGTTGACAAGCCGATAAAGTACTGCTGCATACTCCTTCGCCAGTCCCCCGTCATCGCGGCCACTGGAAAAGTGAAAACTGCGGATTTCCTGTGCTTTCCTTTTGCCTTATTGGCCAGACAGGGGGAGGACCTTAGCGGACAGGGAGGAAGGCTCACGGCACCTCCAATTCAGGCTTTCCAGATTCTTGTCGACCTTGACAGCAAGAGTAAATGAATGTTGCAAAAGGGTTTGCGTCCTTGCATGTTTATTGGTGGACATACCCGCCCCCTCACCGCAACAAAGACTTCCACACACATCAACAACATACCAACCTACACCAACGATTTCCCCGAGAGCGGCTTTCAACCCCACGCAGGCCATCCCCGTTGAGACAGACGACGAGGTGAGCACGCCTGGCACATCGGAGGCGCTTTAGCCGGCGCCGAGCGGAAGGAGTTCCCTTTGTGAAGTAGGCATAATGGGAATCCCACGTTGGTATGGCAAAGTTAGGTATGGTTGCTATGGACGCGTAAATAAAGTTTCCGGCCTGCGGTTTCGTGGGAAATGTTCGTTTGAGCCCGCAATATCCACTCCCAAATTGACCAGAGACTAATTGAAACGCTGATATCACGCCCATCCCCTCCCGCACAGTTTGTTTGGGGCACCAAAATGGGATTGTTGTGTCAAGTTGGGGAGACCCGCCTTTTGGTTTCCATTTGAACCAACACCCAAGAAGGATACACCGGGTGATTGGTTACTATTTGGTTTGATTCATGTTGACCCCTGGATAGACCAACCTGGTAATGAAGGGATGCCCCCATGTAGAATTTCAATATCAACCTGATGTAGAATTTAAACGTGCTCATTCATCAGGGCAACATCATTAACCCTTGCAAGAAATGGGATCCCAGATGTGACCCCTTGAATCCTTCAATTCCATGTATATTTCCATTTTGCCTTGGGGGAAACCCAAACGCCCCACCCTCCCCTAGGGTTGAGGAAGTGAGGAAATGTTTAGGTGAGGTACTTAGATGGTCCAGGAGTTCACAAAGTGGTTATTGTCGCACCTGGTTTAATATCCGTACCCTACATTATGTCAAGTTTCCTCGGCTTAAACACGATCCCCCCACTGTTTCGGTATGTCAAGCTTGTTTGCCACAAAAAAGACATGGGGAAAAAAGGCCAACACGCTCGGACAAGATAAACGGGGCAAGCAAGTCCGGCAAACAAATCCGGACAAACATTAGGATTTCCTGTTGTGAAGTGGTCCCCCAACCATCAAAATTAAGACAACTCCTTTACAAAAATGGCAACCAGTCACACAGGGGGTTGCCCACAAGAGGCCCTGATTCTGTTTAATGTGACTGTTTCGGGGTCGCGTTAATGTCCAACCTTTTTGAGGGGTCACTGAAACTCCAAAATCGAAGCCCTGGCCTTTTGCCTGTAAAGGGTGCCTGACCAAGCTGTTCCTAGCTCAAAGGGTAAAGGCCTTAGGGAAAGGAAATAGGAAATCCATTTTGCACGTGGTCCCCAAACCATCAAAATTATCAAAAAGGGGCCCACGGGAGCCCGTGATCCTGTTCAAGTATTCAATATGACTGTTTGTGGGGGTCCTCTATAATGTCAAGCTGTTTGGGGGTGGGTCAAATCTGGCAATACTGGATAAAGTACTGGGAATCTGATAGTAAGTCTTGGCAATACTAAAATTAGACTAGGCAATACTAAACCAAGTACTGGGAATCTAAAAGTAAGTCCTGGCAATACTAAATTTAGATTAGGCAATACTAAACCAAGCACTGGGAATCTGAGAGTAGCTTCTGGCACTACTATATTGAGACTTGGCGATACTAAACTATGTTCTAGCAATATTACTGTAAGTAGTCGCAATCCAACAGGAAGTGCTGGCAATACAAAACTGTATTGGCAATACAAAAGCAATACTTACATCATCCAAGATCCCTACCAGACCTGAATTCAGGAGCCCCGAGCACTGCTTTGACTGTTCTGGGGGACGGGGGGGCCCGACTTTCAACGAGGTCCAACATGAACTCCCAGCTAAGCCCCGTGTTACCTTGCGTATAACTCCCGAAGAGCCACAATACAAGAGGCTCGTCTGTAGAGCACTCAGACGAGAGCAATTTGGTGCTACACACAGGCGAAAAGACGGGGGAGGTGGCCTACCGAACAGTCTTCCTTCGCGGCTATTTGAAGGACCTGCTCGCATGCGAATCCTTGAGGGGATCTATTTGTTGGGGACCCCCTCCTCAAAAAAGAAAGAAGAGGATGGTTGTCCTTTTGGTTTCCTTGAAACCGCCAACAAAAATAATGCCCTCAGAAAATGAGAGCCAATTCATGGCAGTGCGTGCGGGGGACGCAGTGGCCGACTTCGGCCTGGGATGTCCGAAAAGGTTGAGGACCGTACCCTGGACACGCACGCTCTCTTTCCGGGGTGCCACAAACTCGTCCATTTGGATACTGGTTCGGATCCAGCTATTAATTAAGACTTTCAGATCTTCAGAATTGAGATGTATTTCATGACACATCTCACTAAATCTCAACAGCCGTTTGGTTTTCAGCAAGGGATCAACTAGCCTACCGGAGATTGACCTGGTTTTTCTTGGGCACGGTGGATTTCAACCACACCGGGCGTCCTACATTTCCCGCTTTGGTTGTAAGCATCAACTTGGGCCAAGTTTAAGTGAGTCTTCGAGGAAACGCTTCACCTGCGCACACTCCACTTGAGCCTTGGGTGATGTCCATTTCACCCAACTGCGTCCCTGGGTCGGTTTCAACCAACTCGGCCATGGGCCGTTCAAGCTTGCAGGCGGGGACGCCGAAAGCCCCGCCGGCGGCGGCGGCGGCGGCGTCCGGAGGCAAGGCCGCCAGGTCCGGCGGAGGCGGAGGTGCGAATCCCGGAATCGGATTCGGAGCGAGGGAAAACTATTGTGGCCAAGGTTTTTTTTCTAAGGGAAGCCCCTCAAAAGTAGTTGATGTGATATTGATATGAGTCCTGACCGAAATGATGTCGAAGAAAGGGTTCCCCTATTAAGATTCGTAGCCATCGGGGTCAACTAATTACACGCATTCTCCTCTTTTGCTCGTGACTATTGGTTTTAGACGCCCCACATCCCCATTCGAGTATTCAGGTGCTTAATACATCTTACCTGTTGACATTGCCAGACGGATAGCTTGCCTTTTCAACCAGCAAACTGCTTAACTTGGGTTGAGGTGCAACCAATTCAGGGGAGCGAATCAGGCTTCTCACTTCTGACTTGTGGCCACTCAGCTGGGCAGGTCACATAGTGTTGTCCCGCCCAATAGCTGTCAAACAAAGCAGCCAAAGGAGGTCACTGGCAAACCATGTAGCAGTTGGGGTTCTGGAGTCGGTCAACATTTGTGGGTCGAGTAATATAATATATCTAATCAATCAAATATCCAATTGCCCGCAAAGTAAATCATAACCAATGGACAACAAGCCCGCCAGGACTCGCCACCACAACATTTGGACTCCCTCAACTAATCACGGGGTGGGGGCGGGGGGTGGCGGGTTTCGGACCCAGTCGGAGCGGTACAATGCCTGACGCTCGATGAAGTTGTAGGCCCAACTGTTTCGATTTTGGCAATCCCTTGATTGTGTTTTGCTGCCTTGGGGACTTCTTGCAACACAATAATGAATACTCTGGGAAGCATCAAACTGGTTTGAGATGCGTTTCTCGGGATGGCTTTCAAAAAACCACCTCGAAGTGTTAACTCTGGTTGACATGAATTTGTGTTGATGGATTTCGACAATGCACTTGGAAGGGTCAATTTGGTTTTGACCCCTTTTTTGCAGGGTTGCCTTTTTTAAGAATAGACATTTGTTTGCCAAGAATGTGACGAACTCCTTGATGACAAACCTGTCTAGCCAAAAGTGGGGGGTTGCCATAAACAATGATCCTGGGCATGGGGCATGCGTAAAATATGGACCAACAAATGGATTTCGGGAGTCCTGTTTGTTTTCCTTTACACAAAGGTCAACAAGTGTATCGAGCCTCAAACAAATGAGACAGAGTAAACAATGACACACACACACACACACATTGTCCTCTTATGATCATGACTAATCTTGGTTTCAAAGTCGCCCAAAACCCTGTTTTAACAATTTTGGCAATCAAGAAACGTGCACCCTCCTGTTCCCTCATGGTGATTCCCTGGCGAACCACGCAGGAGAGAATGAGAGCAGCGACGGGGAGTCTGAGAGTAGCGAGGCTGTGACGGACGTGCCATGGGCGTAGCTCTTTTTGCACCTTCCATGCCCTGAGAAAAAGTAGTAACCCTACAATTATAGGTCTCCTTCTTGGTTGTTTTGGTAGAAAGATAGATGGCCTTGGTTTACCTGGTGGTTTAATCATCTACCAGGGCCATCTATTTTTTGCCCACCTACGGCTACAAGGATTCTCTCTCAATTGCCAGAATGATGTCGTTCAGGGTTGTCCTTCTAGAAACACTTTATTTGAAGCATGTGTGGGATACGTTAGAGTGATGGTTTGCGCTTGGAGATTTGCAAAACTTGCTCCAAAAGGGGTCAACAGGGCTGGGTGTGTCTTGTTTTGGGGGGAACCCCGTTTTGGCTGTTTCTGAAGGGAAGCCAAAAGGAAACCAAGCATTTGGGGAGGGGTCCGCAATTTTGAGACAAAAGCACATGGCACCCAAAACGGGAGTCTTTCTCCCAAGAAAACAGTCCTCTGATTAGAACCAAGTGGGTTTTGGGTTCTATGATCATTTGCAGGAAAGTATGCACTGCCACCACCGGTCCCTTGATTGGGCCAACGCTGGTGACATCTTGCATTGTCTGCATTTTCTGACATGCTGATGGTATAGAAGTTGCGGAATTTCCTATAGGCTCAGGGATGAACATTGACCAAGTTAAAGGAATCTGGGGGACCCTTGAGCAAGATCTCCTGACTCCTGCAATATGCATAAGCATGGTTGAGGCGAGGGGTCTCAGGATGCCAACTGTGTATCCTGCTAAGAGAAGAAGCCTGACCGGAGCAAACAATCATGTAGGTTGCTGTCAGGGAGACACACCCAGTGGTACCAATAAAAGGGTGCCCTTTTTGTCCCATGGCAACTGGGGGTCTAGGTGGTACTCAACCAGTGGTTCCCCAAGATACTAGTATCATGTACCTCTCTCTAAACGCAGTTAACCGGTGAGGGGCTCCAACAAGAGAGGTGGGGAGGGGAACATCCAAGCGTTGGCTGAGCGGGAGGTTTATAAGGGCCTGGTGCGTCCCAAAGGTGATTCCGATTTGCTAGAAATGACAGGTTTCCTCTTCGTTTAAGACGCTTCTTGTCGGTTTGAGACAGACCCAATGAGGCCATTTGAAGGTCATGTTGCAAATGTTGGTTTCCCGTGTTGTTCAGACCCACCCCCCTCATTGAGCACTCAGTGGGATGTGTCCATTTTGCAGGGCTCAACATCAGAGTCCAGCGCCGAGGCACGGGTGGCCAGCTATCGAAGATTTTTCGCTCATAGAATTCGCCAATTGATTGGGGTCCTTCTAGTCCATGGCTGCGTTCAACACTGCCTTTTCGGCCAGTTGCAAATCCATTTCCTTTCATGATGTGCATGGAAGGCACAAGAGAACCCTGGTAGTGGGGAAATTGCAGAAAAGGTCACCATGTAGTCCCGCGATATACAGAAGCTGAGCGCGGCTGGGCCCACTCAAAACATGGCTTTGGCTCCATTCCCTAGGCGACCTAACATGGAAACCAAGAGGGTAGGGGATGGTTTTTGTTGATACCGATCCTGTGGATGTTCTGTTGTTGAGCGCCCGAAGAGGATTGCAGGAGTGCGTGGGGTCGGAATCTAGACCGTTTCTACCAGCAGAATCACCATTCAAGTGTCAGACAGGGATTTGACTTTTAATTTGACCCCAGAGCGAAGTGATGGTCTTCGTGGAATTTGCTTCGGCCTAGCGGGCTTTCTGCCGGCGGGTCGATTCGGTTCATTCGCTCGATCCCAGGTGAAACCTTGGGTGTGGCTTGGGCATGCCATGCCTGATTTAGAGACTATTGGCCTCTATCATCTCGGGCACTCGGCAACGAGAAGCCAAACGGATTTGCAGGTTCAATCATAAGGGTCCACGCATGTCCCTGGCAAACGCGTTGTGTTGCTGGGCTGGGCCCATGTCATGTCAGGGGCAAGCCTCCTTTGTGAACGCCCCCCCCTAGGCTTCAAAAACGAAGCCGATTTCAACCAGGGTTTTCCACCGGGTCCTTTTGACTTTGTCGCACGGCTATTCAAATATCATCTTTGGGTTTCGAATGGGTGCGCCTCCCTAGAGTCCCTATGTTAGAATCAAACATGTAGAGATTCATGGGATTCATGTGGATCAAAGATTGATTCCTTCACAGATCCCCAGATCGCTAAATCGCAAGTAAGGCTTCTTAAGGGTTAACTTTTCCTAAGATAACTAGTTCATGAAATTGAATGTGTAGTCCTCATGCCAAGCACTTGTACTGGTGTCCCACGGAGCACACATGACTTTGAACAAGCCAGTTTTGGGGAAGGAGTGTCTGGGGGTCGAACGGAACTTCTGAACGGACAGGGGTGGGGCCTGGGGCAAGCAAAGGCAACAATACCCAGTACGTCTAAATTCCACTACAGTCGATAACCGGGGAAAACCATGTTGATCGTACTCAGAGGTAACTACGGCAACTGGAAGCACTGCAAAAGCTGAGATTGGTATGCCTTGGTTTGAGGGTACCCCTGTTCTGCGGATGTTAAAGGAAATCCAACAGGAACACCACCTTGGGCCCTAAAAGAGAAGTTATCCACCATGGGTCCGGCCAGGGCGGCGGCAAGAAGTCTGGCAACCTGCCAGCGGGTGCGTGAGAACCCCAGAGACATAGGAAGGTCCTATTGTGGATGGACGAAATCTTGCACCACTTTGAATCCACATTGTTTGTCGGTATTTGCAGGGGAGTGGATCATTCCAGGATTTCTTAGATGGTGCAGGATTTCTTCCATCCACAGGTCACGAAATCAACCTGGATCCCATGAGGAGGAGGTTCCACACAACGGGGGGGGGGGGGGCTTCTTAGAACATGGTGAGAATATGCTAGAGCTGACTAAGCCACTGGGGGGTCTGGTAGAATAGAGTGAGAATTTGTTAAAGCTGACTCCGTGGTGGGTTGGCCTTGAAAAGGAACCCCTCTTACATGGGACACTCTAGTGATATAACAGGGGTTTACCAGGGTAAGCTCTGACAACGATGAAATGATGGGGCCAGGGTAAGCGGCATGCTGTCTATGGGTTGGAAAAGGGAACCCAGTTTTGGGTCCAAGGCTTAAAGACCGCAAGTGAGCCCCAACCGAAACCCGAGTACTGTGAAGCGGACCTATTTTCCACGCCGTTTTTCGGTCTGGTTTTGTGGCCCCAAAAGCGGCCACGAATGGGTGGCCACGTGTGTGTGTGTGTGTGTGTGTGGGTTCACGGAAAGCTTCCAACCCGCTTTTGCGGGCGCATGTTGAGTCAGTTGCTACTTACTGCACGTTTGCTTAGGCTTATTTTATGGTTTGTCTTTTCCTCGGTTCGTGTGCAACCCCATGGTGCCACGCATGGTGGCCGCAGACTTGGCGCTGGCCAGGCTTTTAGATTGCGAACCATCAAGGTTTTCTGTGACCCGCCAACTTGTGCCGCACAAAGCGCCTTTTCCGGATGTAAGAGCCGCTGGCTAAGCCACTTGCCGCCTGAGGCGGAGCTAAGAACTGGATTGAACTGGATTGAGTCATGCAAGTTTGTGTCGCAGGGGAAGAGGGCTTGCAGGAACGGGCTTTAGCTTTGAGGAACCTTCTTGCCTGCAACGCTCGAGCCATTTCTAACATGCAGCAGCAAGTGCGACGAGAAGCTGAACGGACCAGGCATTGCGGACTAGGGCTTCTGAGTCGGCAAGCTGTTTTGGCTTGCTACATCTTGTCTGATTTTGATCCTCGAAAGGCAGTCGTGTTTGGCCGCCAGCTTGGCCTGCGCGGCAGCAGACGCACGCAGGGCGCAGCGAGCGAAGCTTGGGAGGACAAATTGTTCGTTTGAGCCACCATGGAAGAGGTTGTGTAGGTGCATTTCTCGGTATGTATTGAGTGGGAGTTTGCGGTGTTTAAGGTAAGCAGATTTTTAGCAGAACATGCAACCTTGGAGTGGGTGTCCGCTCAGAACCTGACGCATCATGCGGCTCCTGCTTATACGCTGGGAAGTGTTTTCGTTCTCACTTTGATGGCTTCTGCAGGCACGCTCCATTCGTGCTTGGGCCTGGCGCTGGAAGGGGAGAGCTGGTCAGACTTTCTCACGTGGCTCGCCACGCTGGAGTTCTTGTCTCGGCTCACCGCAACTATCAGCGCATGAGGGAAGGGTGCAATTGCACTTCTTCGACGAATTCAGCCGTCCTGTGGACTGGACCACGTTGCGGCCCGTGACGTTTGGAGGCATTGTGCCAAACGCGCAGCCAACCCGAGCGCGAGGCTCAAACCAGGGAAGCCATGGACCAGGGCCATTTCTGTTGTTACGCGCAGAAGGCGCTGCTTTCAGACTTCTTCCTTCTCCCACCGCCAGACGGGAAAACAGGAACTGGCTTCTCGTGACTTTGGCTTTCAAAGCTCCCTTCGCTTCTCACGGGGCAACGCTAGGTGGGCGCTTTGGAAGTGGCGACCTCCAACTATGAGCCTTGGATCCACTACACAGTTGAGGGGCCTTGGTTGGATCCCCGATGGAGCGCGCACAAGCTGTTGCACCAGACGTATGTCCAGCATGCGCGCAGCCCCCAGATTCACATTGTTCACTTGCGCTGGAACATGGCGTTTGGGAACAGAGCTCCAGAACCCTCCTTGAGTCTTGACCCTTGTGTCAAATTGAGCTTAACTCGCCCACTCTGAGGTGCCAGGTTCGCGCTGGCTTCATCGGGCGCCAGCGGCAGGTGGAGGCAGCGCAGATGCACGAGGAGCGCGGGCGGCTGCTAGAGCAGCAAGCCGCAGAGGCGTCGCTGCAGGGCCTGAAAGGCGACTTCAAGGCACAGGTGCTGGCGCGATGTGAGCCCTGGGCATCCCAATACCGAGAGCTGAAGATGAGGTACAAGTTTCTGATCTTTGAGAGGAGGCTTGCAGAGTAGGAAAAGCACTCTTGCAAAAAGGCTTGGTGACACTTTTTGACATTTTCTACCCAAGCCTTTTCTACAGACCGTGCAAGACGCGGAGGCTGCAGATTTAAAGAGCTTTGACAGGCAGCAGTACGGCTCCATACTGTTTGACTCCTTTCCCAGCGGGCGCTCTTCCAGGCAAATGGCGATGTTCACCAGCTGGCTCAGTCCAAGACTGGCATCTATTCGTATGCCGTTTGGCTCTTTAAACTCCGGATTGTTGGCACAGTGGACATGTCAGCAACATGGGACAACCGTGAGCCGTGGCTCGCTGCGAATACGCGCGAAGTGCTGCTTGACGGGCCCTGCTACTTGCCGCCCGCAGAGCTTTGAGCATTGTGGCCCACACGCAAAAGCAGTGTAGCTGCTGACTACATGGGAGGGGATAGGGTTGGTGCGTGTCCTCGCAACATTCCGGCCTGTTCATGTGGGACTTCATTTGCTTTTCCACCGCGGGGTGGTTGGCCAATTCCACGCGGAGGGCTGAAAGGATGCTGCTGCTTTAGGGTCTAACGTGCGTCCCCTTACCTCTGCGTGGCATATATAAAAAAAATACACATAAAAAATAGAGCTTTTCGATACATGTGTTCCCCTTTCCGAAGCAACGGGTGAGTTTGCTAGGTTGGTTTCTCAAGATTTCAGACTTTTGGTTTCCAAGGGAAGGGGTGTGCTAAGCAAGCTGGGCCTTTTAAGGCGTTGTAAGTGTGCGGCCCGCTTTTTGGGGCCTTTTTTGAGATCTTGCCTGCCTTCAGGCAGGCGTGCCTTGATTGTAGTTTAAGGCCGCCCTCTTGATTTGTTACGCGAGCGGCTGTTTTTGGTACGTGAGGGACATGCTTCTTGTATGGCCATGAACTTGAGTAGGGAACCCCTGCCGGCGGCTGGAGCACATTAATTCTCACCGAAATGATGTCCACCAACGGCAATGGGTTCCGAAGAAAAATCATACTATATACTACAAAAATATGTGCGATATGTGTTCGTGTTGAGGGTGCCTGTTTGGGGTTGTTTCAAACGGATACCGAACAGCTATTTGACAGGTTTCTACATGTGAAGAACATGTGTTCCAGTTTTAACACCAGTTTAGGTATGGTCGTTGGAGGTATGGGCGGGATGGACAACGGCGTATACACCAATAGAAGTGTGTAAAGCAACATCTAGACCTTGTATAGTGGTGTGTGTGTGAGTAACCGCCATGCCTCAAACAACAGTACATGCCTTGAAATCATAGGGTTGGAACCAAGAGCCGAAGGACGCTCATTGGAGTTTGCCTTAAGATAGGAAATGCACCCTCAAACTGGGCGTCCATTTCCCTGTACATAAGACCGCCCAAGAAGGGTGCCCCCCTTAAAAAGACACGCCCGTTGGTTGTCAATGGCGCCGGACTTAGCTTACCTTTTTGCCCTACAAGGCCCTTTTGGGCGGGTTTCCTTCATTTTGCGCTAACATCAACCACTTGACATCCAGTCTGCTGGTCTGGGCTGAGGTACAATCCGGACGACTTCAAGAATATGAAGGTTTCTTCGGAGGTGGAGGAGCTCTTCAACTGCATCGCCAGGCCGGAGATCTTTCCCTGTCAAAAGGCGGGTGGTGGATGTTGTTGTTTCTTGTTTTTCTGGTTTCGGTTCGAAACCAGAGAATAGGGAATCGTCCGGTTCCACAAAGCCGTTTAGTTGTTTTTAGTTGGTTTAGCGGTTGGGTTTCCCTCATTGAACCCGCCAAAGTTGAACACTTTTGGCAGGGGATCTGAGGACAGCCCAGTTTTCGTTGGATCTTTTGGTGGAAACTCCAGCAGAAACCAACAGAAATGAGGGCGGTCCCTTAAAGTGCTTACATGTTCAGGGCTTCTCAAACTACCTTCGTGGGGGGGGGGGAAGAACATAGATTTGAGGACTCCACTTTACTGGACTTTTCTTCTACAGCGAAAAGGGTTCCAGCCGCTATTTAACAGATAACTTCATGGATGTCATTTTAATGGACCCAGTTTCTTTTTCCAGAGCCACGGCTATGGTGTCTTCGCCAATCCTGTTGGTTGGGGCAGGCCTTTGGCAAGGTCTCACCTTTCCAGGACCGTGCAACAGCATCACCCCCAGAAGCCCAGGCCCCCCCCTTCCTGCAATCAAATGGTTTGTGCAGTGACGACTTGAGGCCATTTGACGGCCATCGGGTATTGTCAAAATAAGTTTTCCTTTTGGTTCCCTTTCAACAAGCCCCAAAAAGGATGCCATTGGGGTGGGGAATCGCCCGATTCGTTAGGTATAAGCCCCACACCATCGAGCTGGACACCATCCTGAAGCCCTTCATTCCGGAGCTGATCCCAAGCATCGGTGAGGCCCCTTGTTTTGGGGGGTTGGGGGAGGGGCAGTGGGGGGAAACATGGTTCAAGTGGTGAAACAACCTTGTCTTTTGCCAGTGTTTGGTTAAAACAGAGCACCAAAAGGCGCCACCAAAGGAACAGGGAACGAAGGGAGCTGTCTTTTCTTGGAAAGTGGTTACATGTCGAGTGGACCGTGAACTTGGCATAGTTGTGCTACCTGACATAGGGTTTCCTGGGGCCTATATCTCTTCCAAGAGCCTTTAAGTTGCGGGTGCAAACTGAGCAATCGTCCAATCAGTTCCAGAAGAGTTTTTTTGTTGAAGAAGATCTCCCGCCATATTGCGGGAGCAGAGCTGAATTTTCATATCCCCCACCGGTCCTTCAAAGACAAAGGCAAATAGTTGGAGAGCACACTTGAACAAAGAGGTCGGAAGGGGGGGGGGGGCCTCCTCGTTCTCTCCAAGCCTCAACTTCACTCTGACTCGCGCGGCAACAGCGGCATTTCCATGGTGGTCCCCACCAGTGGGTTCCCCTACTATCCCCCTTAAATGACAGGAATATTGGAACGTTTGTGAGGCCAGTTCCCTCATTCCAGCAATGATCAAAGTGGACAGGAACCTTTTCAAGACATGATTCTTGGAAAGAGGGTATAAACTCCCTGACAGCCGTGTGGGTGCAACCAGATCGTGTGCCTGGGAAGCAATGCAAATACGTTTGTATGTAACCTGATGTGGGTGTTTATTTTCTTGAGGCTACCCCCAATTTGCTGTGATGGTCTTAGGGGGGGAACCACCGTTTGAGGTCACCAATTCTAAGACATGGCCATATACTCATGTCGCATTTGCCTTCGAGTTTTAAACAAAGGGCACTCAGCTGTCACCTGGCCAGCCCATTGGCCCTAGTCCTGGGAGACTGTGAGCCAGAAAAGCCGATTCGGCTAGAAGATTTGCGGGGGACAGAATAGATGTTGTGAGGCTCGGTGTCCTTTTCACCGTCGGGGCAACCAAAGGAAGGCACTATGCGTCCCAGTTTAACACATACCCAATCCGCCCTTGCCAATCTTGCAAGTCTGTCGTAGGGTTTGATTGCGACTCTCGTGAGCCTTTTCTTTCAGCAGGGTGGCAGACGCTCAACTCTACGAGCTTGTATTCAAGGGGGTCTCTGATTTGTTCCAACCCGCGGTTGTGGAAAGTTATAGAGGGGGTAGGCCGGGACATTTGTGTGATACCCTTGGCGATGTTTTTTGAATGTGCAAAAAAGGTCGTAGGGGATGAAGATCAACCAGTTGACATCACAGCAAACATCACCTTCTGCAGCCCTGTGAGCGTGGTCAAAACAGAAATGCTTCACGGAAGAACTGGAATGGAACCCACGCAGCTCCATGGTTTGAATCCTTTTTGGGGACTCCTGTTGGAGTTCTGCCCTTCATGGCGGGCTAGTCAACACCCAGCCGAGAAGAGTCTCACAGCAGAAAAATGGTCAACGCCCAAAAAGCAGATGGTTCCCTTGGTGAATTTGGACAAGTGGGCCGCTGAAAAATGACATGAACCAAGCCCAGTAACCCCTTGTAAGTAGGGTTACAATCCGCTGACCGCTGACCATCCAAGATTTGTTTAGTGTTTTTCAGACTTTAGAGGGTTTTTTGTTTCAATGCTCACTAAGTCAAGAAGTACCAAACAAAGTACCACCGGAAAGCGTTTTGGTAGACTTGCTGCTCCACCCGGAAAAGAGGCTTGGTAGACTTTGCTTCCCTTCTACCAGGTTTGAACTTTTTCTTGGATCTGAGAGTCGATTGCTCTGTGGCGGTACCATGGTTGGGGATAGGTCCAAAGCCCTAGCTTCAGGTGGACGCATTCCTGAAGATGCCCCGCCCGGATGAAGCGCCCAGCGGCCTGGGTACCACTCGCCTGGACGAGCCGACACTGCAGGGGGCCCCAAGCACTTACAACCCAGGGCTCCGGTCAGTCCCAAAAAGAGTGCGTCTTTTTTTGGTGGTGCCCTTTTCGAGGAGGTAGTGTTTTTTATTTTACTAGGCCGGACCTAGTAAAACAAAAAACACCTCTACCCCTTTTCGACCAATGTTTTGTTTTAAGGTTATCAGTTTCATTCTCACCCCGTTGATTCCCTGAAAACCAGATGTAATGGCTTACCTGGAACTTCGGATCTGTGTTTTGATTTGAGATTCAATAAATATGGACTAAACATTCGGTGTTGGGTCAGGGGCAAAAGCTGAGCTAGTGTTCTTTTGTCTTTCTTGTTTTTCTTGTTGACTGACATGGATAAACACGCAAATGCACTGACTGCACGTCGGCGAGAAAGTCCCTGCAGGGGTTGGATCCTATTTTGGGTCAGTTCCCAACAGTACTAAGCTGCTAGCAGATCGCACCTTTCCCAACCAGGAGGGTTCAAAAGGTAAACTATTTCACCTTGTAAAGGGGACAAATACGGACAACTCAAAGCGCAGAAGGAACACACTGAGAATCGGGCGCCAACTTGATAAGCCCTGCATCAAACAAGAGCCATGGCACATCTGAAAAGGCAAAAAGGACACCAGTGAACCTGACAAAGCTGTCAATCAACGACGGGAAGCGCCTGATTTGGTAGGGGTTATAGGATGCGGTAAAGCTTTTATGAACACGCAAAGTCCACTCTCGTTTGGGGCTTCCGCTGCTCAACCGTGGCTTTGTCCAATACAAGGGGCTGAAAATAGAATCGCTACGCCATGGGTATCACTTAGTTTAGTTGCATGGCACCCCAAACCCCCATTAATTCATAGCACCCTACAGGAAATTCTGCCATAAATTTGCCAAATGTTCACCACAAACCAGTTGGTTTCCTGTCAAATTGTCCGCTTTTGGGCTGGTTTCTTAGACCCATTCCCAGGCAACGTTTGGTCGTGTGCAGGAACCCCTCGGACCCGAGCATTCTGGACCTGCAGCTCCGTTCTTTGAGCAAGAACCAGGAGCTGCAGCCCATGGAGGCCCAACAGTTCCAAGCGGTTGGGTGTGGGGGGCTCGTCTTTGAGGGCGCCCGTTTTGGGCTTGGCATTAGGGCTACGTCCCCCAGTGCCCTTTTGCCCTTTCTTTGCGGAGGGTTCCCCGACTAAAATAGACCACAGAAAAAAGGGTACCCTTTTTCAAGCCTCTCTAAGAGGGAAACCGAAAGGAAGTCCAACAGAATGTTGGCTCCGATTCCAATTTTGAGACGCAACAGGGCGGGGTCGGAAATTGGATTTGCCAAATGGGCGGGTTTGGCGGTTGGTGTTCATTTAAAAGAGACTGAAACAAAGACAGGCACACACACACACAATTGGAGAAAATGTCACTTGTCACCAAAACACTGCGCGACGGCTTCCGACTGAATTGGGGCCATCCCCAATACAGGGTTGTTTGTCAACGCACCTTTTTTGAAGGAAAACCAAGGGAAAGTTGCCACCATTTTTCGGGTTCCAAATCCCATTTGGAGACAAGCCCACTCATGCTCAGTTTTTTTTTGGCAAACACATTGCCTTTTTTCTGCGATGCCATGACACCGATCCACTGGAAGTCTCGGATTTCTCTTAAATCTGCCAGGTGCGGTCCATTGAGAATGCGGAGAAGAACCCTAAGGAGATCGACAACTGGGCGCGGGCCCCAAACCAATGCCCACGGTGGGCTTTGTCCCTTTGGTTTTCCGTTTCCCTTGGCCAGCCACCAAAAACTCGCATAGGTTTCTTGTTTTGGAGGGGTACCTTGGTTTGCACCCCCGACTTGTCCGCAACCAGATATGGCCCTTTTGCAGCAGTCGTATACCCCCCCATAGAATCGGCATACGCATACATGCACAAGCGAGCAAACGTGAGAGTCGCAACCAAAGCCACCAACAATCCAAAACACCGCAAGCAAGCACGAGAGCGGCCACCCCTATGCTTGGCAATGCCCCCCCGAAGGCCTTTCAAGGCTATCTGAGGGTTTCCGGGGTTCCGTCGTTGGCCCAAAACATTCAACGACAAACTGACCATGCCCCCCCCCCAAATGAGTGGCTTGAAAGGCCCAACATAGGCCCCATCGCAGGTCACTGAACAAAGCATTTGATTGGGGGCTCCTTGTACTCAGGGTTTGGATTTGGCTCACACCACTCCAAGTTGACCTTCCCTTTTTGCGCCATGGGACTGAAATCTTGGCGTTTGGCCCTGTTTGGCTGGACCTACCTGGAACAAAGTGTCTTTACTGACCCATAGTGCAGAGGTTTTTTGTTGTAGAGGTTATATAGTGTATAGAGGCAAAGGCCCGGCGTGTTTTTAATGTTTTTTTGCTGCCCCAACTAGACATGACAGAACAAACTAAAAACACACACCAGACATGGCAAGAAATCTATTGCTCAGGGGTTAGGACCACAAAAAGGAGTGCCCACTCAAAGATAATTATGCCAATTTGTCCCAAAAGGGGACTCGGCACGATGACCACCCTAATTGGGGATAAGAAAGACAATTAAACGACGAATGTGTGTGACCACCAAATAAAACGAAACAAACTTCCGCAACAAACCAATAAAGCGCACGCTTTCGTGGTCAAACCAATGCATTGCCTGACTTAAACAATGACAACCAGTTTGCATTGTTGCCTTTTTTGGCTTCCTTAGGTTTCCTTTTTGACTAGCAACCGCTCTGAGGTGAAGCGCATCGACAACCTGAACCGCACCAAGCCGGCTCCCACCGTGCAGTACTCCCGCAGGAGGGCAGGGCGGAGGGCTTGCTTTTGAGAACTCCTGAAATGGATTTGCCTCACAGAGAAAAATGTGTACTGGACTTTTTCTGACGAAGGCCACTCAGGAAGTGAGTTCAACTCAGCTGTAGTGCTTGATTTCCCGCCAGGATGCCGGACATCGAACAGCTCATGCAGGTCTGGCCCAACGAGTTTGAGGAGAAGCTGCGCTCATTTAATTTAAGCACCGATTCGCGAATGTTGCTTGGGCTTTCTGGCTTTTTGGTGGGATGCTTGTTTCTGTTGATTCCTGTTTGTTGGTATGTTGGTTTCTATGTTTGGGTGATTGTTTGCAAATATGAATGTTTGTTTGCTTCATTTGTTTGCTGGCTGGCTGGCTGGCCGGCTGGCTGGCTTCAATGAATAAACGAATTCACGAATGAATGAATTAATGAATGAAAGAAAGAAAACATGAAGGAATGCATGAATGCGGGAAATAATGAGTGAATCAATGGATGGATGGATGGATGGACGGACGGACGGACGGACGGATGAATGGATGGATGGATGGATGGATGGATCGATTGAAATGAATGAAGTTAATGAAATGGAATGACATGGATGGAATTGGGGTGGAAGTAAAGGAATGAAATGGAAGAACATGAAATGGAATGGAATGACATGAATGAAATGAAATTCATGACATGAATGACGCGAACGAAACAATTGGAATAGAATGGACAGGAATGGAATGGATTGAACAGGAATTGTCTGGCCTGGAATGGAACGAATGCATGGCTGCATTCATGCGTGCATGCGTTCATGAGCCTGGAACGGAATGGAATGAAATGGAGACTGCCTGCCTGACTGATTCGCTGTCTGACTGAACGAATGACTGATTGAGTGAGTGAGCGAACTTAATGAAGGCCCAGAGACCAAATCGTCGATTTGCCCATGTCCGGTTAGGGGCCTGGAGACCCTTGTGTGTTGCGTGTTCCGCGATCAACCAGTCCGTGCTAGTCACCTGGGTCGACACGCACCAGGATCCCCGGTCTTAGTGGATAATTGTCTCTGTCTTGAGTCGGCAAGCTTTAAGTTCCTTGGTAGGTGTCTCTATGTTGGGAAAATCCTTTGCGTTATTGACAGACCCTTTCATTGCTTGCCAGAGAGGGATACATGCACATGAATTTGCACAAGATCCGTATTTTCGAGTGGCGCGAAAACACGTGGAAGCACGCCGAACCCGTGGAGTGCGCCTTTGCAGGAGTTCCTGCAGACCAATCCGCTGCCGGAGCTCTCAGACTTAGAGCCGGGAGCCCAATCGTGGGGGTAGCGCGAGAGATTCCAGGCTCGCGGGGAAGGTCAGTTTCTTAAGGGATCGGGTAGATGAAGGGTAGAACAAGTTCAAACCATAGATTGGCGCGGCCGCATTTTGTGCTTGAAATGAATTTGGGTAGATGTCCTTGATACCAGGTTCCCATCATGGCTCCTCACTTCCAGGTTTGAGACTTCTAACCATTTGCCCAGACCCCTTCGTTGGGATTGTACACTGTTGTACGCTGGTATTGTTTGCAAACCCTGGTGAATGATAGGAAGTAGCACGTTAGAGGGGTGTTGCCATGTCTGGATTGCTCACCTGTTTTCTTGTAGAGTTTCGGATTTGTATTTGGACGGGTTCCAATTGGTTCCAAAGACTTGAACGCAGTCCCTGGATTTGGGTCGGGGAAATCAAAAGATGGAACCCCGGGTACCCGGCTCTTTCACCGGATTTGGCAGTTGCAGCTGTCGCATGTGGGCAGTTCCAGTTTGCAGTCTGAAGGCAGATCAAATGAGCAGCCGAAGACGATTTCCGTATTACGGTCAGAAGCCCCAATAAGTTCAGATTTGCCTGTAACACGAGACGGCCCCCACAACTCACTGATAAGTCTTAGTCACTGTGATGTGCAGCAGCTTGTTGCGCATGCAGCAGGCTTCGGGGCACGCAAAAAGTAACAAGCCAAAACGAGCCCAGAATGAGTTCAGAACGCGATCAAGCCGACTTTGGCATTGCGAAAGCAAGGTAATTAGTTAGCTGCGCCAAGAGGTGTCCATACCTCACCAATTACCATGCTTGTGGAACATGACGTTTTTGATTAGCCAACAGTACTTGATACCAGGACGCTGTGGTACAATGTTGTTCCATGTACCCCGGAAGTATATCTTGGTCAAAAGCTCTTGGGGAAATGAATGAGGAGGATTTGGCAACCCGTGAGATGCCCTGTATCAATGGCTGGAACCTATCAAATTTGAATCCAAGTTGGATTGTATTTACTCAATTTGTTGGTGTTGTTCTCTTTGCAAGGACTGTGTTAGAGGCAAGAAATAGTTGTATTTTTTGCGGCTGATCCATTCAGCAACTAAACAATTGCTTTGTCAGCTCAAATTTGTTGTGCGAATGAGAGGTTTGCTCCTGAACCAAGCTCCAACTTCTTGTAAAGACATTGTCACGGGGAAGGCTGCGTCAAATATTGATACGCTGAGACGGAAAATACATTCCCACAATCCAATTCCAGTCGGGGGCCCGAAGTCCCAAGTCTGAGCTCCCAAATCCTGAAAAAGGGAAGGATGAATGCGCATTCTGAGCATGAAGCTCTTGCCGCCGACATGCAGCCATAACCTTCTTGCCTGAAATTTATTGGAAAGACCACGTCAAGCAGATTCGTTTGGCAGGCAACTTGGGTTTTCCAGCCATATCCTCAAACTTGAACTGATGATAAATCCCACCTAAGGTTCAACCTTTACGGGATCCCTAAAATATGAACCACTCGGGTGGTTCACCCTGCCAATATTTGCCATATTCCATCAAAATCCGGCAAGCTCACTGGGTCTCTCGAATGCAGCGAGTCACAGGCTAGACCTGCCGAGCTATATTCGGATCTTCGCCTCCATCCTGGACGTGCCTGTGCAAGCCTCAAGGAGATGATGAGCCAAACATGCGCGACTGACACAACTCCTCGTCCAAAAGTTGGTTTTGGGACACGAGGGGATGGGCCCCAGGCTTCCCACACAATTAGGGAAGTGGACAACGCGATTTGCCCATGTTTCTTTTTCAGTTGGTTCTTTCTCTTTTGGGGAAAGGAATATGGTTTCCTGGTCATATTTGCTCGCCTTGTCTGCCTCCGGGTAGATGGTGTGACCTCCGTGCCCTGCCCTTGCCAAAAGGCGCATTCTTCGCCTTGGGTTTTGGGTAGACTTCCGGAAAACACTTCCTTTCTTGCGGGTGCTTGGAAGGAAGCCGAGGAGGCGGGTTCCAATTTTGCCTTCAATGAGGGAGCTGAAGTTCTGTAACAGGTAAGGACGTGGTGTTCGTTTTATGTCGAAGGGGTCCTTTGCTTCGACCTTGGCCTTCCCTTTGGCTTCCCTTTGATCCGATTCTTGGGACTAAGAGACGGGTCGCGCTTGAAGCATCCATCCGGCATGCGACCGGCAAAAGGTCATAGGCGTAGGGTCCATAGTCTGCTTTTCTGTGCCTTGGTCAAAACACCCGTGTCCTTTGGCTATTTGGGGCTTTGGGATCCTCATGGACCCGGTGAAGAATTGTCCGAGGTTGCCATTTGGGGAGCCATGGCCACGGGAACGTTTTGATACCAAGCCGACCTCAAGTTGCCATCGCGAGCCCGCGAGCCCATGAAAGTTCTTCAGGGTCCATGTCTTATTTGAGGTAGAGTTACGCGAATTCACCCCAGTTGCGCGAAAAGGTTTTCGAGACTCCCATTGTTCAGTACCCTTTTGGTGACTCGGGTGCTCTTTGCCCTTTGCCTTTTGAACCACAGTTTGGCCATGGCTTTGCGAAGGCACCAACTCCTCATCAACTGACACTTACAGAAACGATTTCCGCGAAGGTCTACAATCAGATCACAGAGACGCTGCACGTCATTTTCACCCTCTACTCGGAGTTCAAGTCCAACCAGCACTTTTCAAAGGCCTCGGCCTCAGGTCCTAAAATATGGTTTCTGATTCAACGACAGATGGGTTACCCAAAGAGAATATTTTAACTCAGGGGTACCCCTTTTGTAGGAAAGTCTATCTTAAGGCGATAGAATGGACCCCTGTTTGTGATGCTCTTGTCCCCAGCTTTGGGGTTGGTCTGCCACTTGTGGGTTTAGGTTGGTCCTGGGATATGTGCTGGGAGGATTCAGGGATGCTCCTGGTGCTCGTTGTTCTTCGTTTCTGTGGCTTAGTTCTTATTGAACATCAACCCGCCCACAACAGGGTGGGTGTGTGGACCCCCCAAAATGGCTGGTGTCCATTAGGTTTCCCCTTAAAACCAACGAAAAGGATACCCTCTAAACAGCCACACAAACAGGGCATTCTTCTTTCAACTTGGCGCTGAAGCAAGGCGAGACGAAACCCGGCGCATTGATTTTGTCTCGCAAGGGTGCCAGTTTGCCTTTGCCAGTGGCTACCTGTTCAGACATGGTCCAACGCTCAACAGCGAGCAAAGGACACTGCCATGGGTACCAACGTGTCCGTTACTGGCACAAGTCATTCCTTTGCCAGACTTAGGTAACCTTTTGCTCTGTTTCCCTTTTTTTCGGGTTTCCTTGTTTTCATTTGACCAGCAAGAGTTAACTTTGTGCAGGGCGTCTAAGTCTGGCACATGTTATTTCAGTTTCTGTTTGAACATGAACCGTGTGAGTGTTGATTGACAGACGCCGGGCGTGCCGCTTTTGCAGCAGAGATATTTCAAACACCCTCCCTGTTTCTCCAACAAAGCCCTGAAGGCACTCTTTGTAGTGTCTTGCTCTGGAGAAGCCAGGGGAGGGGGGTTAGGGGAGGAGATTTGGAAATTTGAGCATAATGGGAACCCGGATATGGGCCAGAGTTTGGGTCGGCTTCTTTGATATCCCTCGTCGCCCAGTTAGCCATGCGTCCTGGTTTGGCCTCATTATACTTCCTGTTCCGAGGCGTAGTGAAGTGTTTTATTTGTTTGGCTCTTTTCATGTTTAGGGCTCCGATTGGGAAGCAATGGGTCTTACGGATCATTTCCACGCTGAGCATACTGAGACCGACACTGCTGGGAACTTCGGCGACCAGTGCCCACTGGGCCGAATCGGGCAACCATCCCTGTGGGGCGTGCCATTCAGGATATGTTGCAGCACAAATCCGGAGAATCTAAGACCCCACAAGTTGCCACGCAAATAGTCCCTATGTCTGACTGTCAGGGATGGTTGCTCCCAAACGAGCATGTTCAACCGGAACTCGGCAAGAATCATCCAGGTCACTTTACCCAGTGCTTTGCCTGGAACCATCCAGGAATTTTGGGAGGCCCCAATTTTAGTACCCGGATCAGCGTCATGGGCTAAGTGGCGGGGGGCTTCCAATGGGTCACTGTACCACTGGGCAAGGACTAGCAACCCGTGATACATTTAGCTTTAGGGATCCCATACTGGTGGGTAAAGGCTCGTTGAAGGCCCCCGCCAATCACAAGCCCAACGACTGCCTTCGATCCTTTTCGGGATGGTTCCTTGGCCAAAAGGGAGTCCTATGAGGTCAAAACCCTGGGGTTCTCCGAAGAGCCAACATGCAACGAGGTGAAACATACACCGGCATGTGTTGAAATCTCTGCAGCACACTCAGTTCATGAGACACCAACATAGCCCTGCCAACTTCACAGCGCGGACTTCCGGGGCGTACGTCCGCACAGATGATCCTATGCTAAAGTTAACACGAATGAAAGCCCACGCTCCAGGTACAACTTTGGACCTGTTCAAACCTTTGGGCCCAGCGCTCGGAGAGTGACACGACATGTGAGAAGGGGGGGTCTTCACGTAGTGCCTCCGCTTTCGGTTGGCATTTGTGTTTGTATATGAATATGGTATATATGAGATTATGCAAGTATACGGTATATATGTGCATCCTGAATCCCCTTGGCCCTTGATGGGTCCCTTTGGGTCAATGTTGATATCTCATATATTTGCCCTTCATAGCAACACAGCAAAACTTCAAAACCATTGATTCCTAGATCCAGTACCCTCCGGCCATCAAATTGTTTGCGACTTGCCTTGCTGCTGGGGCTGTTTTTGCCAGTTTACAGCCATTGGTGGTGGTTTAGGTTGAACTTGAACACTGGCAGCGACCCACTTCGGTCGGGCTTGTTCCACCCAACTTACCAAGCGCAAGGGTTTGATTTGAAGGAGGGTTGCAATCATGAAGTCTGCCTCTACTTTGCCACCAACTTGCCCTAGAGCCCATCAGAGGGGGCTATCTAGCAGGCTCTAATAGACAGATTCGGATGCGCCAAGGGACAGGTCATCGCTCTCCAAACATGGGAATTGGGCCCCAAATGTTGGATGGCTTTTCCTGGACCCCTTGCGGTTTCCCACAGAGAATCCCACGAGTTTTCCAGGTTTGAACACCCCATCCCAGCGAGGCAGTCCAGTGCTGCCCCGCCCACGGGCTATCCGCCTGGCACCCAGTGCTTCCTTCGGGAGCTCCAAGCAAAAGGCGGGCTCCACTTGGGGTGCCCTCGAATGTACAAATTTGGATATTGCCTGAAAGGGGGGGGGGGGTAATTTCCTGTTGCCTGTGATGGGGAACTTCGGACCGGATCCCCGGATGTGCAGAAGCTCAATCTGGGGGGGTCTTTTTTATTTCCCTCCACGTCCTGTCTTAGGCCCTGCAGGGGTTGATACAAGAGGTGTTTTGTTTTTGTTGGGCCTGTTTCAAACGGAGGCCAAAGGGAACCTTCATCTTGAGGTATATAGGATGTGAGTTTGTACTGGCGGCTGTATGAGGTTCACCCTGTGAGGGAGCCCTTTTGATGGCTCAATGTCGTTTTTTCCGATGGCCTCAGACTGACTTGCTACTTGAGCTATCCCCCGAACCCACCTCCGCAACTGGGACTTCCAACTGGGCCACCTCCACCTGGTGCAGCGGCTGGTGAGTGATGAAGTTGGCGCATATGTCAAATTTTTGGGGGCCACCCAAAATGATGGTGTTCCTTGTAGTTTCCCCTCCAGACCAACCAAAAGGGGGTTCCCAAAGAAGACGAGCCACAGGTTTGAGTGTGGAACATATCTTCACCTGAACCTCATAGAGCCAGCAAAGCGGATCCCCCAGATGGAATGCGTCCAAAAGCGAAGGGTTTTGTACTTCCATGTGGCTTTGAGTTGTCATAGGTTTCCTCTCAGAAGTTGGACACAAGTCCCCAACTGAATGATGTCCACCAAATGATCGCCAACAAATCATGCTCAGGTGTTTTGTTTCTCGCAGGGCACGCCCCAGTGATTGCAGAGAGATTCCTTTGCCGAGGGTCGAATCCATGGCACCCAGCCGCGCACCCTCTCCTGTGCGCCACTGAACGCGCTCGGCTCGGGTCTACTGGGGTGGCTGTTGGAAGCCGGTTTCCTTTATGGGAAGCAGCCTCAGAACTGGCTGGTAGACATCAATGAGTTGATGTTTTCACAAAAGCAGCGTGCCACTTGGCCATGATTCTTCAGCATGCGACCCGAGCTGGCCCCTCTTTGACGGCATGCCACGTGTAAGGACGTGGCACGTAGCAGATGCCGAGAAGCCGTATCCCAATGCAAGGAATGATCCTCACCCCATATTCATAGATGGAGCGGCAAACCTCCAATGACACTTGCCCATATATGTATTTATTGATGCAAGCAACCTGTCTTTAGGAAGGCCCACGTTTTCTCTGTGGTGGGTGGGGATTACAAAATGTGTCTCCCAATCACTTGCTTTTGTTTAGGCACGTTCACCCAGCACAGCATGAGTGTTGCCTGCAAGTCGGGGACCATCATGACCTAGCCTTGAACTGAAGGCAAACCACGCTTCTACGGGGCCCCCAACAGGAAGCACCCCGCTTTGCTTGTAGTTTTTATTGGAAGCGAGTCAAGTCGAATATGTGCATGCGCTTAGAGTCTGCATTCTCACCCAATGTACAGCGCAGCTAATCGAATTGAGATCAGCCCTCGAACTGCGACGGGCGAAAGGCACGTGCTTCGAAAAAGGGAACATGGATCTCCCTCTTTTGTCGCTGAACCTGGTGGTAAAACGAGCTCGCCCTTGATGAATGTCCTTAACAAGGGGTTTCCTTGTTTCAGATGTTGGTTTGTTTTATATAACTTGAGGATGGATTAGTCGAACCGAACCATTTCAGGATTTCTTACCAAACTGGACCCAGTCAGAGACGGAGATGAAGGACATCCTTTCTGTTTACCTTCCCTCAGGCGATTCTAGAGAATTGTTCTGGACCTCTTGGGAGTAACTTCCTCTTTCAAGTGGTCCGTGGAATCGCAGCACCATGTCCCGATTTGTTTTTGCCACTGGGGAAATCAATCCAACACAGGGCAGGGGGGTTCGGGTCAGATAGTTTCAGGGGAGTTTGAATATTTCTTGGTTTGACCAAGCCAACCTACATGTTGCTTGAAGATTTTGGTTGACCAGCTAGCTACATGTTCAGCATGTTCAGCAGACATGGCTGTTTACCCCTTTGCGCAAGAATGTGTGCAAAGCGCCCCTTGTGAAAACCAAGTATTTCTGAAAGAAACCAGGCCAACCTTGCCTGTGGATGGGAATTGTAGACCACATTCCCACTGAGCAAGTTTGGACAACCTGTGTCCGTTTCTTTGGAGCTTTAACCAGGGACGGTAAAGATGAGGTCAGTGAGGATTAGAGAATACTCAGAGTGGACCTTCACATAGCGAAATGGGGGTTTAAACCTCACCGAATTTCAAAGTTTGTTCCCAACTGAAACCTTTGGGGTTGTCCAAAGCTCTGGTGTGGTTCAGGAGGGTTGCTGGGGATACGACTGACGGAAGTGGCCCAAATGATATAGGCGACTCTGACAGATGTTTTTGTTTTTGTCTAAAGACTCGGTTTCTTGTCACGGATCCTATGGCCGGGGACTGCAAATTGCTAAGCATTCCTGGGAACCTTTTGCCTGGCAGAGTTGCCCCTGGCAAAACGAGCTCGGTTGCCCAATCAAGGTCCCGACAATTCTCAATGCCATTCGGGGAATGAGCCACGAGATACATTGGGAGCT